GCTAAGTCATGCCAGAAACACCAGACCAAAATCCAGGACTTAAGTGGCTGTACCAGCTGCTAGGTGGTATCTGCTGATGAAGGGTGAGGAATTTGTGGAAGAGGCTGCCAGTCTTTAGGTGCTCTTATCAGTTATCCTGATGTCTCAAATTCTCTGTCAAATTGGATTACTATCTCCTGTCTCATTCTTTAATTCCTTGACCTTCTTACACTTACTTGACCAGATTATGCAAATACAATCAGTAAACCATGCTGTGATGCATTCTTATAGCTGTTGATAGTTCATCTAGCCCTGGTTCCTCCCTAGCCAATGAAATAACCCATCAAATTCAATGAAGACATTCACACACATTTGTTTCAGCACCTTACTGGTTTTAAATTATATGCCTCACTCTTTGTACATTGCTCATCTGACTCTGGCTTACTGAGCAAAATTATGAATACTGAGTATTACTCTCCTTATATACTTGCATGCAGCTTGTTTTGTCATCTGACATCAGGTATTTCCGTATCTTTGCCACAGGCAATGCAAACAATGCATCTCTTAATTCATCTTTTCACAGCCTCAGTTTTCTTCTGATCCTGCACATCAGACTTCCTTCCTTCTCCTGGCATTCTCTCACAGAGCTGTTTCACCAACTTTTCTATTCCCAACATCCTTTCTTCTGTGAAAGCAGTGCAAAACAGAGAAATGTACGTACCTGTTTAACCTGTTACTAATGCCTGTGAACAGACTTTACAGCTTACCTTGGAGAAAATACAAGCCACCTGGAAAGCTCCTAGAAGCCTTTTCAATGCAGAGAGAAAGGAGTGGTCTGCAGGGCTCTCCCTGCGCTGAGACTGCCCCAATGAGCAGCAGTGTAGAAGATGTGCAGAACTGGTTCCAGCTACTCCCCCCGTTCCTTTCCAGGAGGTTTCACCTGAAGCAAGTGGCCTGGTAAAAGACTCTGAAAAGGTCCAAGCAGAATGCCCCCAGTGCTCAGCTGTCTTGAGCACTTATCTAAGCCCCTCCTACATTATACAGATATGTTACATGATTTATTGAAGGAAAAACAGCTTGAAGAGAAACTCTGTCTATGAATTTTGCTGGGGCACACAGCACAGGTCACAGCAAGGCAATTTAGTCCACTCCTCCAAGCTGCATGAATTTGCTAGAGAAGAAAATTACATGGGACTAGCTGGTATAAGAGAGAACAACATATAATACCTAAGCACTTCCTTTATAAAAGCTTTCACCAAATGAACACTTCAGACTCCCAAAAGACACCTTCAAGTATCTGTATCTTACTAGGCACTGACATTTCAACATTTATTACAGCAGTCAAGCTACTATATTGCAAGCATGAGTCAATGCCCACATCTTCTGGCTCCAGAAGAAAGGGACTGTTCTAATTTTTATTTATAAGCTGGGCAAGTGGAGAGAGAGGCATTCAGTTACAGGAAAAGCACACACAGACCCTACGAGGCTGGGTAGGCTGGTTAATACATGGATATACTTGTGCCTTAGCACACTGAGTCACAAGCACCACAACCCATCTCTACAACCTTTCATGTAAGGCCTCAGAAAAGGTTTTTGAAAATAATTTTTGTTGCCTTCTAGAAGAAAGCCCATGACCTCTACCATATTCACTAGAGACTTCCAGCTCCATGTAGAATGTGTTACGATCCAACCTGGGAATTTCTGGCAAGAAACATTTGTGAATATGCACACAATATAAAACAGGAAGAAGGATTTCAGTTTATCTGTGCTCACTTGGGCTTGTTTATTGCTTGGAAAAAAAACCTAAACTGGCAATCTTCCCATCACTATGCAATAGTCTAGGAAGGCTCCTGTCACCTGGGGACTCACATGCTGATGTGTGAGTGAAGAGAGCAATAGCCAGGATTCATGGGGTTTTCAGCATGATCCTAATAAACTCTGTCATGCTACTAGTGTGAAGACAGGAGTGCTGAACAGCAAGTGTCTTAAGAACTACTGACAGCTTCTTTCCAAAAGCTAAAAAATGTCACTTTCATCAGCTATTCCTTTACACCAAAGCACAGAATGGATTTCCAGAGGTTTGTATCTGGTTTCATGCAGCATTTACCAGCCTTTTAAATTTATTCTGCACTCAAATCCAGCTTCCTCGATAAAGAAAGATAATATTAGCTTATATGAAATACCACATCATCTTACATCCCACACAAAGCTTTAGCCTGAGGATTTCTGGATGGACACAGTTCATCCAAAGCAATTGAAGGTAGTTGGGGGGTCATGGGATCAAGTCACATATGCACTTCCTTTCTTCTCCGGCATCCCTCTGGTTCAGCTTGTGCTCCTGAATTGCTCTTTAGCAATAGGGTAAACAAGTAAATATTTTTGACTCAGGAGATGTCTGTTGCCTATACAAGCAAGATTGTTTAGCCTTTCTGATTGTCTTTAGAAACCTAGCATCCTAGAGGAAAGAAAAATAGCAGAACATCTCAGAACTGTAGTTTTTGAGAAACAACAGCTTTTATCATTTATATAGAAAATGTCTAGCTACCACTACCTCTTGGGGAAAGGAGAGTGAACATTGCCATACCTGTTTCACAGCTGGCAAAAAGATATGGATTAAGGGATCGCCAAAACAGAATTACAAAGTTAGCAGCACAAGTAACAATACAGCCCTGGACTTAGAACCCTGGTATTTCAGCTTCTGGGCCATGCTTTTCCCATTTGAATTACTAGTTTTTGTGTTGCTAAAATTCATTCATCTCTTGCTCCAATAACAATCAGTAGATTTTGAGTCCCTAAAAATTAATATTGAATTACCATAAAAGTTGAATAAAATTAGCACTTTTCATTAATACCTTTTTCATTGGTAGTGGAAAGAGAAGACAGTGCATATAGAGACAAACACCAGCAGCTAAACTTTTATTGCACTCTGCTTCTTAAGTCCATTCAAGGGTAGGACAGTGGGACAAAAATAATTATAGGGGTCTTTCTACACAAAAGAGCCAGCTATTTAGAGGGAGGCAAAGTCATTTGAATGTCAATGAAATAACCATTAAAAGGCTGAGAAGCATTGCCATTTATTAAAAGATCTAAAGAATAGTTGCATGCACTATAGCAATCTTCTTAGGTAGGAGTTGTTAATTTGCTATAAAAACCTGTTAGGGACAGGGCAGAGCATAATTAAACAGGAGACAATACACACTGTGAAAGGCAACTGGATTTGGAATTTTACAGCCTCTTATTTCAGGTTTCTACATGAAATACTATGCTCTATAATCTCTCCTTAATAACACCTATGTATTTCTAGCTCCCAGAGTGTTTTGTGTTTCAGTTCTAGCAGTGGTCTCCTACAGCCTCTGGAGGAAGGTAAAACAAGGTTACGCACTTGAATGCAGCCTCACAGCAATCCTTCTTCCGAGAAAGCCTCTCATCAATGCCACTCCTTAATTGGCCCGAGAGCCCCTCTTTAAACAAAGCTCTCGTCTCCCACAGAGCTGAGCTCTTACTGCTATTCTGGCAAGAGCGAAATCCAGACAAGGATGTGCCATTTATCAGCACAAGTGTACTATAAATTCAAATGCACAGGAAAGAAGTGAAGTACTTCCAGGAGAAGTTGTTGATGTTCTGCAGGTAGAGATCTGCAGGTAGGATGAACTGCATCTGGAGAAAACCTATTTCCTCTCATCCTGTCAGGTTGTTAGTTCAAGAAAACGTGTCAGACACAAGTGGTACTGCTAAGTAACAAATAAAGGATCAGTCAGGGACCTCGGGTAGATTCTGTCCTAATGGACTGAATGTGAGCAAAATCAGATTGTACGGTCAAAACTTTGTTACAGAGCTATAGGACAGGCAACGATTTTGTGAGTTAGACAGGAAAGGACTCTGCATTTGTAAAGATGACCACTTTTTAATAGTAATACAAATCACTCAGAATACTTAAGTGCAGTGCAGCTTTAACCTCTTCATTAGCAGAAACCCCAGTATCTGCCTTCGTTATCTGCCCAGACTGCCAGGCACATAAAAGTGGTGTGCAAAAGAGATCCTACATTTTCCTTCCTTCAGCTGTTATTCCAAGGCACTGTGGTTTTTCATGTACTCAGTCAGCATAGCTAAGTATGCCATAATATCTGAGAAAAGAGTAAATACAAATGCCCACAGCAGGACTGAGTAGCAATTGTTCGACATCTCCCATGATACCCAGAGGCATAGAATTCTCCACTGATATGTATCAGACATTAAAATACTTTTGTCATTTGAAATACTTTGTTCCTTCTCCTTTATTTAGCCACAACACAGATACAAGAGCAGGCAAACCCCGTCCAGTAGAACTCACTCAATAAACCTGTTCAGATTAAGATTCTCATGAAATCAAGCAAAATATACGTGTACATGCACACACTCTCACACACACAAGAACGCAGTAGAGCCCTTACAAAATGAGGAGTGGCCCTGAACTGCACCTAAAAGGAAAATGCAATAGAAAAAACAACTGGTTAGGGTACATCTGTTAAGCAACAAAGCTGTGCACTGAACAGGTTCCCACTGTACCATTCCATTGGCTATTTGAATACCAGCATCATTCATTTCAGGTGAAAATTTGAAGCTCGCAGATGAGAAGTCTGATCTCAGATACCCAAGAATTCAGGGTAATGGAACAATTACACCACTGTAACTCAAAGGAGGATCTGGCCCTACAAAATGAATATGCATATGACCAGCTCCAGCTGGAAGACTACTGCAGGTGACAACGTTTTAGTCTCTTAAACTTCCTCAGCAACTAAACCCACCACTAACACAGTGTGCAATTTGGCTTTTGCAGCCTCCCCACTCATACTGCTCCTTTTGGTGGAAGAAATAGCATAGTGGTTCTGAGATATGAGTAAATGTCCACTAGGGACTAGAATAAGATTGCCAAATACACCAAACCGCTGCAGAAGAAATAGAAATTGGGCTCTTACATAAAGCTGGTCAAGCAGGTCCATCTGATTTGTCAACGCTTTGCTCAGAAATATAAGACTCAAATATAGTTTACAAAAAGAGTAATTCTTTATAGAACATCTCAATGTCGAAATACTAACAAAAACACAGCTTGTTAATGCTGAGAAGAGTGGTCTTGGAAAAATTAATAACAAAACTAGGTCGTCGCTAACAATAATAGGTGATATCTCTTCATAAAAATCCAGTCTGATGTACTCAGGAAAAATGAAACAATTGAAACAAACTGTTTACAAAAGTGATTTAAATGCTCAGCAGAGATCTAACACAAGTGTTAACAACCACTATTGTAATTTTATTTTTGGACAACTTCAGCAACTATTCCAAAAAAAAAAACCCAAAACAACAAAACCTGTTAATACAAAAATGTAGTAAACAAAAAAGAAAATTCCAATGAGACAAACTTAGTTAAGGTGAAGCTGTACCTTTGTCCCAGTTACTAAGAACTTCAACTTTAAGGGTGGCATAACCCAGCTCAGCTAGGTTTGTAGGCTTTCCCACCCTTCCTAAAAGAGTCAGTTCTTAGAAGGCGCCAATCTCAGTCCCCCAGGGTCTGTATGGTTTGCTAAGGGTCGCTGACTGCGTCGGCGTAGACGGACTCAGCACGTTGGGGGACAGCAGATGGAATGAGCCAAACGAAAAGGGGAACGCAGACAGAGATGCCATGGAGGAGAGAAGAGGAGGAGACAGTTTGGTAGTAGACGTGACCACAGGGAGCACTGGTCCAACGCTGCCATTTGGGGGCACTCTGAGTGAGGAAGTTTCAGCATGTGGGGCAGCAATTCTGGTCTGGTGATGTGGTTCTGTGGAAGATGCTGTAGTACTGGTATTACCGTGCCCGTTTTGAGGCAGCAGCAACGGGTGAGGTATGTGAGGGTGATGTCCAAAGGCACTGCCCCAAGGAATGTGTCCAATGCCAGTGTGTGCACTACTTGCTGCTTCCCGTTGAGAGGCATAGTTATTGAGATGGGACACAAGTCGAACTCGCAGAGGATCAGAGGCATCCAGACCCTCTATGATACTAAGGTATCGAGCAACTTCAGCCAGGCACTCTCGAAACCCTAGACTCCGATAGTCCATAGCCAAAGCATGAGCATCAAAATAACCTAAGAGAAAAGAACAAAGAATGGAGTTTTAAGATGCTGTTTTCTAGTCATTGCCTACAAGTCGCCTCCCCACTCCACCCTCCCCTATAAGCATATTTCACTTGGATGTGGTTAGTATTCCCAACCATAGACTAGCTGCCAAGCTCCTTTTTTTTCTCTTTTTTTTTTTTTTTTTTTTGTCTAACAAGCTTTTCTTTTATATCTGTGCTGTGATGCTGCAAGTCCCAAGACCAGCCACAGACTGCCATTTTTAAACTGGAATTGCTCACTGCCACTGGAGGAAAGTATTTTTGTTCTTTCCATGTCTCCCCTGTGCAAGCAAAACCACAGCACGGTGAAAGTCATTAAAAATACAAGTCCTAACTTATCAGAGGGGACTTAAACAGGCAAAGTACTTTTTTCTTCAAAGCACCTTTCACCATTTTTGCTAATTCTCTTCACCACTTATTTCATCCTGTACTTTTTCCTAGTTCTGTTCTGAACTTTCAGAAAGTTAAAGAAAGAACCATTTGACAACAACAAAAACTGTTCTTCAAGTTGGCAAAAGCTGATTCCCTTCACGGTGCTGTCACGCTGCTAGAGAGACTTGCAGTCACTCTCCCCTAAAACAACCCGGAGGTAGCACAGCAAAAGCTTTCAGTGGTAGCGATGCTGTAAATCTTGTCAAGTGGAAGAAAGTCCCAAATTCCTGATGAAACATAAGAGAGCTTCCATTCACTTTGTCCAAGCACTCCCCCAGCAGAGTGTACACCCAGTGCTCAGGAATGCGCTCCCCTCACAGCAGCCTCTCTGCAGAGCTGCCGACCCTCTCTGTCAGGCACAAAACTTTACCTTTTCCTCCTGCTGTATGCAGCATTTTCAGGTGATCGACAGTCATCTGCAGAATCTCTGCTTTTTCCAGCTTGGCTGATCCCTAGGAGAGAAAGGGAAGCACGAAAGATTTTAGGCAGAGCCGGAGACGTTACCGAGGGGTGACCCTCCCTCCCGGGAAGGGGGTCGGCGGCGCG